TTGGGGGGGGGGGACGCCAGCAGGCGACAACATTTAGGGCGGCTGCCAACAGCAGCCCAACTGCATTTGTTGTGAACTGAAACCAACATGAAACATAGGTGGTGCAGCATGAAGCGCCCATGCTGCAAGCACTGCAAATGAGCTTCTGCCGCTCTCACCTGGGTGGGCATCTCATCTGCCTTGTGGTTTGAGATCATGAGGCAGGTGAGTGAGGGGGGGAGCGCCACGGCGGTGCCCAGCTGCCACCGCAGTGCATCCAGATGCAGGCGCCGCATGGAGATCAGGCCTGCCAGGGTGACCCAAGCTGTCATGCCTTGAGTGTCAAGGTTCAGCTCTTTCAGACGGTGCGCTGTCGCCACCCAGGCCCCAATTGTGTAGCTGTCGGTATATAGGTTCAGCGTCAGGCGTTCCAGGCTGCTGGCACAGACGTTGACACAGCCGTCCAGCAGGCACACAAACTCCATCTCCTCAACAGCGCTGAGCCTGCCACGGATTCCAAGGTCCAAGACAAGGCTGCGTACCGCCTGGCCGTGCCGCTGCAGCCAACGCAGCAGCGACTGGGCAGCGGGTAGGGTGGCGCCCTCCGCTACGTCAAACACCACCTCCCGCAGCAGCTCAGGCCTGGTGCTGACCGAACGCCAGCGGCGGCACACAATGGCCGCCCTGGACAGCCTGCAAGCATGGTCGCAAGGCTGTGAAGAGTAAGCGGCGGCGTTGGCGGCGGCAGGGGCGGGCCAAACTGTGGGGCTCTGCAGAGGCAGCTGCAGCCAGGCGCGGGCGGTCCTGCGAGACTCACAGGTCCGCCTGCCCAAACGAGGACAAGCACTTGGCCAGCAGGTCGTCGCCCAGCGAGCCGATCGTGATGGCGGCGGGCTCCCGGCCCTGGGCTCGGGCGCTGGGAGCCATGTGTGTGTGATTAGAGGAGGGTCAACTAGCATGCGTGGTGTGGTGGTGCATTTGTAGAGCGGCGCCGGTTGGCAGCGTGGCGCAGCGTGGCGGCCGCCGAACGGCTTGGGCTCTGCTGCTATCCAGCCCTGGCGCTCAATGCTTTGGGAGGACGCTCTCGAACCCTGCCATGGCACATTTAAATTACAGTGTCGCATCAACAACACAGGCAGAAACAAAGGCAGGAGAGCTTGCGGGTTCGGCGCCGCACACTGGAGTCGGTTCCAAATGGGGCGGGAGGCGAAAGAGGGCACCAGCCCTCACCGCCAGTCAGAGAGAAGTTCCTAAAAATCAATCAAGACATAATAAGAAGGCCCGACAATCTCGATCTGCAGGGCGGGCCGCTGCCCCTTTAGCTGCAGCGCGGCTTCCAGCAGGGCTGGGTCAACGGGCTCCTCCCAGTTACCAGTCCGTGGGTCAGCAAGCTGCATCAATTTCGTCCGCATGACGAGGTGCTGCAGCGGAGCATGCTCCCCCGCCCACCGCCAGAAGGTGCGCCACTCTGCCGATTTGCGCCAGTGCCTTGCTGGAGGCTGGAAGAAAGAGAGGTGCTCCAGCTGCCCCGCTCCAGCCAGAAAGGGCAGGCTCTGCTGCGCTTGCTGGAAGGATGTGGCCAGGCGCCGCAGGCTGCGCTGCCAGGGGCCCGACGGCAGCGTTGCGCCGCGGAATAATTCCACTTCTGCTTCGGCGGCTGCAGCTGCCAGTCCATCCGTTGGACCCCGCACCTTCAGGTACAGCCACTGTAGGCGGGCCAGTGGCGCCAACAATGCCAGGTCCACGGCCGCTGCGGGCAGATCGTCCAGCCGCAGCCCCGTCAGCTGGGTGAGGCGCCGCAGTGCGCCGCCCAGGCTGGATGCCACAATATCGGCTGGGCCCACTGGCCGGCGAACCTCCAGCACCTCCAGCTGAGTCAGCTCCGACAGGCTGCCTGCCAATGGCAGGTGACAATGCGAAAATGCTGCGTGGAGCAGGGAGGTGAGCTGGCGCAGGTTGGCTGAGCGGTATCCAACGAAGAGGAACTGGAGGCTGCTCAAGTTGGACACGGCCGCCACCTGCAAGCAAGGAGTCAGGACCAGCTTGCCAGTCAGAAAGCACGGCACATTCCAAACCCAGGAGCGACGCCAGAGCATTGAGGCTGGCTGCAAGCAAGGGCGCTGTGTTGATGCCAGCACCCCTTCCTGACCCCTGGTCCTGCAGCATGCCCTGTAAAGTACAGCTTACTGTTGTCCCACCTGGGCGGGCATCTCCTCTGCCTCGTGGGACGAGATTCTGAGGCGGGTGAGCGAGGCGGGCAGCGCCACGGCGCGGCCCAGCTGCCACTCCTGCACGTCCACATGCAGGCAACGTAGCGACGTCATGCCGCCCAACGTCACCCACGTTGTCAGCGTGCTGATGCCTTCGATCCTCAACTCTTGCAGGCGCGGTGCTGCCACAGCCCACGAGCCCAGCATAAAGTCGAGCGCATCCGATGAGTCGTCCAGCGCCACAGAAAACTGCTCAAGCCGGACGCTGCAAAGTGCCAGACAGCTATCCAACAGGCTCACTATTTTTGCCCTGTTAGTGGTGCTGCTGCAGTTGAGAGCCTTCAGCTCCACTTGAAACCAGACTGTAAGCCCACACAAGCAAAGCAAGCAAGCAAGCTGCGCACCGCCTGGCCGTGCCGCCGCAGCCAACGAAGCAGCGACTGGGCAGCGGAGAGGCTGGGGAGCGCATAGCGGCAGTGTAACACCACCTCCCGCAGCAGCTCAGGCCCGGTGCTGACCGCACGCCAGCGGCGGCATACCAGGGCCTCCCTGGACAGTTTGCACGCATGGTCACAAGGCGGTGAAGAGTAAGCGGTGGGTTTGGCGGCGGCAGGCGGGCCACGCGGTGGGGGACTGCGGAGCCGGCGTTGGCCAGGCGCGGGCGGCCCAGGCGGACTCACAGGTCCGACTGATCCAGCAATGAGAAGCACTTGGCCAGCAGGTCGTCGCCCGGCGAGGCGATCGTGACGGCCGCGGGCTTCTGGCCCTGGACCCTTCGGGAGGCGCGGAGAGCCATTTTCGCGCATTTCAAATGGAGTGCGCTAAGAATGCTGGGAGCGGCCTGTGCGACCTGACTTGGAGGAGCCAACAGCCGCCAGCGTGGCGGGCGCAGGCGCCGGGCACACGCCGGCCGGTGTGCCCGCACCGGCGGCATCCGAACAGCCGTTGCAACAATGTGCTTCCCTGTGTACTGGTCCTGTTGAAGTTTGGGGGCGAGCAGGGGCGCGGCAGGGCATTCCCATATTTCCAGCCCATCTGGCCTGCCGCCCGCGCCAATCTGGCTCCTGCACTGCAGCCACACCCTGGTCCCCTCTGCCAGCCAGAGCCTGGTTCCCTCTCCTAGCAGCGGTTCTGAGGCTCCCAGCCAGCGCGCACACCCAGACTCGTGCTGATCCGCAGGCCCCTGCACGCCGGCGACGGCGGGCGGGGCTGCGACTAGCAGCTGTCGTGAAACCTCGGCTGCTTCAAACCAGTTCACATGCGTCGCTGCCAACCGCACAATAAACTGCAGAGGCACCAATGTCGCAGCAACTTGTGGAGGAGGAAAAGAAGGGTCCGGATGCTGTTGCACAACGGGGGGGAGGGGTTTTGCCCGGGAAGGAGGCAAGGGATCCGAAAGAGAAGGGGCGGTCAGGGGTTCGTGATCAGGTGCGCGGGCGCGCGAAAAGAAAGGGGGAAAGAAAGGATAGGGCAATGCATCGTGTGATGGGGATGCACTCCCGGGGGCAGTATCTGTGGGGTCGGGTCCTTTATTCAGGACAGACAGGGAGGTGGCTGTCCTCACAAAGCTGGCGGAGAGAGGTGGCGCCAGGGCGTGCAGCGACACCCTCTGTGCACGTGCGCGGTAGCCGAGGCGGCGGGGGCCTGGCTGCCAGTGGAGAGGAGCCTCACTCCCAGAGGGGCTCAATCTCAACAACATCAGCCTTGCCCTTGAGCAGGATCTGCGGCGCGGCAGAGGCAGTGTGTGGGGGGGGGGGTGGATGGGGGTGGGCGGCCAGCCAAGGCGCTGCGTTGCATGCTGGGCGCCCAGCGGTGCCACCAGGCACGCCCGCGCCGCCTCCTGCCGGCGCCGCCGCTCGCTGCACGGGGCTCCTCGCCACTTGGGAGCTGCCGGCCCTGCGCTGCTGTAGGCCCGCCGGCGTCCCCACGCAGCTGCCGCACCCGGCTGCAGCGCTGCCCACCTTGTTGCGGGTGAACACCCCCACAGCCTTGATCTCATAGTAATCCTTCTCCACCTTGCCCCCCCAGATCGGCTGCACACACCACACGACACAGAAACAGAGATGTAAGGTGTGGGAGGCGAGGCGGGGGTGGCACGGGCTGTGGGTGAGAGCTTGGCCTCCACCTGCGGGGCCGCGTGACGCGCCCAGCGGGCGCACACAGCAGGCGGCGGTGCTGCGGTGGTGGCGGCGCGGGCCCCGGGGTCCGCCTGGCTGCCCTTGCCCGCCACTGGCAGCCCTCTCACCTTGTGGCTGTACTCGGCGCCGTACAGGAACTCTGCGGGGTTTAATGGAGAGGGGAGGGAGCAGCGGTCAGCGGCGCCCAGGCTGGCATAGGAGGTGTGCTGCCACCCAGCGGGTGCGGCAGGAAGGAGAGCAGGGGGGGGGAGGGGCTGGAGCGGCGGCCGGCTGGCTGGCTGGCTCACCATACTCTCCAATCATGTTCTTGGTGCCCTTGCGGATGAGAGTCTGCAGGGTGGGGGCAGGAGGGGAGGCAGGTTGCGAGGAGGGGAGCGGGGGTCGTGGGGGTCGAGGACGGGCTGCCAGCGTCGAGGCAGCTGCGGTTGGGAGCCGAGCGGCGGCGGTTGGAGGTGGTGGGCGCACCGTGCGGCTGGAGCACGGCCCATCAGGGCTGGCCGCCCGTACTGCCCGCATGCCCTGCCCACCGCCGCAACAATCCCCACTACTGCCGCCAGCTGCAGTGCGGCGTGGCCGCCCAGTGCATCCGCGCCCCATCCCGCCCCACCTTGTAGCAGCCGCGCTCCTCGAGGTAGCCAGTCAGCTTGGCCTTCTTGGGCAGGAAGCCATCCTGGATCAGGGCGGCCGTCACCTGCTTCGCCAGCTCGTTGAAGGCGCGCTGGGCGTAGCCGCCCTGTGCCCCAACATCCACAAACCTGCGCAGGGTGGGGAGGGGCGATGAGTGCATGCGGCGGCGGCCGGCGGGAGCGGTGGTGTGTGGGGGGGGTGCAGTGAGCGGCCGGCCGCGCAACGGCGTTGAGGACGCCCCAACCCCTGCGCCACCCCCCCTAGCTGCCCGTTGCTGATCTGCATTGGGGGGACGACAAATCGATGCTGCAGCAAGCAGCATGGGTCACATGGGCATGCGTGCATCCATCGCCCCAACCCACTTGTTGCGCTTGATCGCGAAATCCTTGGATCCCTTCGTTCCGCAAACCTGCCACGGTCCGGCAGCGTTGGCCACGGCCAGAAGGCCGAGCAGGGCGGCAGCGGCGAGAGCGGCACGCATTGTGCGGTGCGTAATGGTGTCGAGGGGACACGGGACGGGGCTGGGAGAAGGATGGGGGCAATGTGTGGCGGGTTTGGGTGTCGGGCGATGCGAAGAGAGTTCTGTGCGTCGGGGTCGACCTCCGGTATGCTTGCACATGCAGCGGCAAGCCTTTACTCCGTGTGAAACGGAACGATTTAGAGCCTTGAACGGAATTGAGGTGAAGGGGGGCCGACATATGCAGGGTTGAGTTGCACATACTTGCCCGCCGCCGCATGTGCCAGCGGCGGCGGCGGTTGGCGGCAGATGTGCTGTCGGGAGGGCTGGGTGTGGCAGGAGCCTTGCATCCCTGGCCCTGAGCCCTAGGAGAGTGGTCCAGTACGGATTTGAAGTACGTTACTGGGGCAGGTTCGTTTCGGTCGATGTGGAGAGGGAAGGTCGCGGAGTCGGTTGGGCACAAGCGGGCACAGAAAAGGCAGGCACTGCCTGCCTTGTCTGGCAGTCGCAAGCAGCGCATCGGCCAGATGGCCAGCTCAGAAGCGCCGCACATGGCTGTGTGCTCATGCCAGCGCCGCAGCATGTTCCAGCTGCGTGGCGGTGGCGGCGGCAGCGCAGCTGCCTCCTTCCAGCCCGCTCTGCGGCTCTGCTCAAGGCCAGCCCGGCAGCTCCACCACGTCCGCCTTGCCCTTGAGCAGCACCTGCAGGCAGGCCAGCCCAGCCAGGGGGGCAGGGCAGGCCGTGGGCGGCAGAAGAGCGGCTCAAGAAGCGGCGGCGGTCACAGAGGGAGGAGCATGCGCAGGCATGCCGATCGGCGCGAGCGCACATGTGTACAGCCAGCGCCGCCACAGCGTGCACAGCAAGCGCCCCACCTTTCCTCGCGTGAACTCGCCCAGCACCCGGATCTCGTAATACTCCCTGCGTACCAGCCTGCCCACCTGTGGAGGCAGGGCGTGTGAGGTGGTGGGTGGAGGGAGGTGGAGGGGCGCCGGAAGCAGGCGAAGAGTGCGTTGGGAGTGGTGGCTCCATCGGTGGGATGGGCATACCCCCGCACACCAGGGGCTGAGACACAGCGCCGTGCAGTGACAGCAGCGCAGGCGTGCAGCCCACACCCCAGGCAGCCATGGCACCACCTCACCTTGCGGCTGTACTCGGCGACATACAGGAACTCTGCGGGGGTGGGGAAGCAGGGTGGAAAGCAAGGAAGCAAGAAAGCACAGGCAAGGTCAAGAGCTGAGGGCGCCGGCTGGCGCCGCCGCCCAGCGGATGCCGGAGGGTGAGCGAGGCAGGGAGAGAGGCCTGGCGTGGCGGTTTGTGGCCCACCGGGTCCAGCCTGGCGATCTGCTGCCTCAGGCTAGCCTCCCAGCGCTGCCTCCCAGGGCGCCACACCCAGCTCACCGTACTCGCCCACCAGGTTGTCGCCTGCCTTACTGACCAGCGTCTGCAGGCCGGTGGTGTATGTGTGTGTGAGCGCATGCGTGTGTGGATGGAGGTGGGAGGTGGGGTGGCAGCGTGGCGTAGTGCGTGGCGCGGTGCAGACGGGTGGCAGGAGCGTGGCAGGGGAGCGGAGGTGGTGGACCGGCTGGCGCCCAGCAGCGCCGCCATGCTGTCCGGCAGCATGCGCTGGCTGCCGCAGGCTGTGGGTGCCCCCCCCACCTTGTAGCACCCCTTCTGCTCCACATATCCCGTCAGCTTGGACCTCCTGGGCAGGAAGCCGTCCTTGATCAGGGCGGTGGTGACCTGCAGCGTAGGAGAGAGGGCCCAGGGGCCCAGGGAGGCAGATGAGATACTGCTGCCTGGTCCGCCGCCGCTCAGCGGTCACTTTGGGAAGGACGGCAGGCAGCACGTCGCCCACTGGGCGGGGCAGGGAGGCAGCTGGGAGCCCACCTGGCCAGCCAGGTCGTTTAACGCGCGCTGGGCGTAGCCGCCGCCGGCGCCCACATCCACAAACCTGACGGGCGGGAGGGGTGAGCGGCGGCAGCCGGCGGCGACGGCATGCACATGAATGGTCACCAGCACCAAGTCGGCTGGAGGCCGCGTCCGCACTGCGACTTACTTGTTTTTCTTGATCCTGAAGGTTTTGGCGCCCTTGGTGCCGCAAACCTTTGCATCGGCAACGACCATGATGGCCAGGAGGCCGGCGACGAGCAGAAGGCAGTTGGCACGCATGGCGCGCATTGGGTGGAGCGTCGGATGCGGGTTTGAGATGGGAAGGCGCAGGGAGTGGCTGGAGGCATTGCTTGCGGGCCCCGCCTGGGTCTGTGCCCGCCCCTCCTCCGGCATGCTGTTAAAGCGCGCAATGAATGCTGGGTCGATGGGGGAGCAGAAAATGGGTGCCGATAGAGCACGTCCCCAGCCCGGACAATGTGATCGAGAACATGAGACAGTTTCCGACACTCTTTCACCCCCAGGAATCGGCCGGCGGGCCTCCATTCCGATTTCACGTTCCCGCTTCAGGCGCTTTCGCCGATTGTTTTGGGCCCTGATCACTATCAGAAGCTCCGTTCCGGCGATAAACAGGCCAAAGGGACGCTGTGGGCAGCGACTGCCAACCCCCAACCACCCATTTTCGGCTGGCTCCTTTGCGGCTATCTTCGCTGGAACGGAGCTTCTTTCAGTGCATACACGCAATCCCGCACCACGGCGAAGACGGTTCCTGTCATGCAAATTTGAGCCCCCCCATTCCGCTCGGGTGTACACAGCCCCCTCGGGGAGAGTGGATGGCCAGAACCGGCGCTGCCCGCTAAACGCTGCTGGAGGCGACGCCCAGTGAAGACCAGCGCGCGTGCCCAGCATAGACAGTGTGCCCAGCATGGCAGGCAGGCGGCGGCGGCTGCTGGCGGCGACAACAGACTTAGTTACATCAGTGGGGGGCGGCACGTGAACTCACGTGTACTACCCAGGGAGGCTCGCGGGCCTTCCTTCACAGCCAAACATCACAGCCATTACTCCCGGGGTTCCGCACCACTGTGGTGCAGGCAAAAGCGGGCGATGACAAAACGGGGCGGCGGCATCGTGTAAGTGGGATGCGAACACACAAGGGGTCAGAGGGGGAATGGGAAGTTTCAGGGGCACAAGTGCTTCCAGTGCGCCAGGGGACGGAGGTGCAAGGAATGGGTCACGGGCGCCGTTTGCAGGCGCAAGGTAAGGGGCACGGTTGTGAAACTCGGCGCGGGGTGCGGCCTGCGCCGCACTCATCAGCAGCGGCTGCAGCTTGCTGCATCTGCTGCTTCCGTGGTGCTTGGGGCTCACTTCTTGCCCAGCAGCTCCACCACCTCGGCCTTGCCCTTGAGCAGCACCTGCGGCGGGGCAGCGGCGGGGCACGGCAGGTCGGGAGGCGATCACCGGCGCCAGCACACCCCGGCCCCTGCCGTCTCGCCTCGCTGCAGCACAGCACAGCCTCCCTGCTTGCATGGGAGTCTGTGGCAGAAGCATCAGCCACACCCACCGCCGCCTGCCGCCGCCGCAGCAGCAGACACGGCACGGCGCCCGCTGCAGCTGGCTGCAGCACCTGGCTGCAGGCAGGCCCACCTTGCCGCGGTTGAAGACGGCCACCGCGTTGACCTCGAAGTAATCCTTCCAGGGGGAGCCGTTGGGCCTCTGCGGAGGGGCAGGCAGCCAGCAAAGGCAGGCAGCAAAGGCAGCAAAGGCAGCACAGGCGGTCAATGCCCCGCTTCCTGAGGCATGCGGCAGGCTGGCGAGGCGCGGAGGGCGGCGGCGGCGTGCGTTTGCCCAGCAGCATGCAGCAGGAAAGGGAAGGGAGGCCCTCCACGCACCACGTTGTTGTAGACCACGGTGTACTTGAACTCTGCGGCAGGCGGGGCGTGTGGTTGGAGGGGTGGGTGGGGGACGGGGGGCCGGCCGGGGGCGCCCCGGGCCCGGTCATGGCAAGAAGCAACCTGACCACACAGCTGCCTCCCAGGCCGCCCCACCCAGCTCACCGTACTCGCCCACCAGGTTCTTGGTGCCCTTGCGGATCAGGGTCTGCGCCAGGAGGGGAGGCAGGAGTGGCGCGCCGGCGGGGGGTGGGCGGATGCGGGCCCAGCACCGCCCACACGCACGCCACCCACGCCGCCGCCATTCCACACGCTTGCCCCACGCGAGTCCTCCCGCCCACCCGCCGCACTCGCCTTGTAGCAGCCCTTGATGAGCTTGTAGCTGAACAGCTTGGCGATGGGGCCGATCAGCCCCTCCTCCCTCAGGGCATCGGTCACCTGCGGCAGTGTGGGGCGGGCAAGGTGCGCAAGGGATGGGAGGTGGCGGGAGGCCTCCCGCGGGACGCCGCCCGCCCGCCTCGGGGCAGCAGCTGGCATGCCCAGCAGGCAGCGGGTGGCTGCGGGGCGCCATCACCTGGCCCGCCACGTCCAAGAAGGCGCGCTGGGCGTAGCCGCCCTGAGCACCCACATCCACAAACCTGCACAGGGCGCGGGTGGGAGGGGGGCGAGGGACGCGCGGTCGGCGGCGGTCGGCGAGGGACCCAGGGGCGCCCCTGAGGCAGCAAGCTCCCCCCCCGGCTTCGAAGGAGCCCAAGAGTGGTAGGGAGAGTGGATGGTCGCGCTCTCGTGCTGCACCGGAGCGAACATGGGTATGTGGCTAGTGCCATCCGATCATGCTCCATCCCTCGGCCTCACTTGTTCTTCTTGATCTGGAAGGTCTTGGCGCCCTTGGTGCCGCACACCTTCGCCTCAACCGAGACGGCCAGCACGGCCAGGAGGGCGGCCAGGAGCACTGCGACACGCATCGTGGAGTTGTACGGGCTTCAAGGGGGATAGATGGATTGGGTTGGGCGCCTTGCAGGCCCCTGCACGTCCCATATTGCTAGCCCTAGCCATCCCGGCCCCGGGGTCCCAGCAAAGCTGGTTTCCTCGGGTCAGCTGAACAAGCTCTTCGTCCCCAACAATCATGCTGATGCGGTTGCTACATCAAGAGGAGAGCCATGGAGGGCGGGGGTGGGTCAAGCCGAAAACCAGTGCCTGCAGCCGGTGGCAGGTACCACCCGCCGCCGCTGCCGCTGCCGCCGCCGCCGCCGCCGCCGCTACCAGCTGGCTGCTGCAGGCCAGGTGAGAAGACTGCCGTCACGCAGCGGGCTGCAGCGGGCTGCGCTGCCTTCGCGCTTCTGCGGCCCGAGGGCTCACTCCTTGGCCGGCACCTCCACCACCTCGGCCCTGCCCTTGAGGAGGAACCTCATCGAGGCACCAGCCGGGCAGGCACCTGCCGTCGCCGCCGTCGCCGCCGTCCCAGCGTCCGCCCCTGGGTCAGCCGCCTCCCTCCCCCACGGCCGCCATCTGCTCGCTGTCGGTGAGGAAGAAGGAGGCGGCGTCCAGCGCCTGCAGCTGCAGCCGCGGGCAGCTGCGCGGCAGGCGCAGCATCAGCTCCGCCGTGCCCAGCGAGATCGCCGCCGCTGCACGGGTGGGTGAGGGAGGCAACGCCTCGCATGCATGCGGCAGAATGCATGATGGAGCAGCCTGGCGGGGGCAGGCTGCTGGCCAGCCCAGCCCACCACCCAATCCCACCCCACCCACCCGGATACATCAGCAGCGTCACGGATCGCAGCGCCGGGCAGCGCTGCAGGCTCTGCGCCACCGCGGCGGCCGCGGTAGCGGGGGCGGCGCCTAGCACCTCGCCCGCCTCCTCCTCCGGCCAGTACATGTTGCCCAGCATGAGCTGCAGGCAGGACGGTGAGGGTGTAACAGACTAACAGGCAGGCAGGCAGGCAGGCAGGCAGAGGAGCAGCAGCGTGGGCGAGAGAGAGCGTGAGCCACGCGGCCTCGCGCCGCAAGGCCGCGGCAGGCGTTTGGGCAGGCGCGGCGCGCGACACGCGGCGGAGGCCGGCGTCCGCACCTGCTGCAGGCGGGGCAGGCGGGACAGCACGTGGTGGCTGGTGAACAGCACCCGCCAGTCGATGCTGCGGCAGCGCACGGGGCGAGGGTGAGAGCGGGCCCGGGACAGCGGGTGCAGCAGCCGGCGGGGTTGCTGCCTGCCCAGGGGCCTCTGCTGTCGGGTGGCGCACCCACCTGAGCATCAGTAGGTGCGGCAGGTGCAGGCCGTCTGGCAGGGCATCCAGGTTTGACTTCTCCAGGTGAAGGGCCTGGGGAGGAAAGGAAGGCGGGGAGACGTGCAGAGGGGTGCGGGGCAGGCATCAGAGCGCAGCTCGGGGCGAAGGGCAGGACAGGGAGTGGGGCAGGCAGTGTGCCCGTCACGCGAGGCAACCGGCTACTCACAAGGCCAGGCGGACCAGCACCAGGCGGCCCCACAAGCACACACACCAGCGTGCTGCCAGCGCACCTTGAGCTGCGTGAGGCCCGCCACCTCGCCCGGCAGCGCCGGCAGGCAGCTGCACTCCGACAGGCTCAGCACGTGCAGCTCGCTCAGCGGGCCCAGCGGCGAGTAGTCGGCGGGCTGTGGCGGCGGGGTGGGCAGGGGGCGGGGCAGGGAGGGGGGGGGGGGCGACACCAGTGCTCGACCGCCATGTGCAGCACCCAGAAGCAGCACCCACCAAGCAGCACCCACACGCAGCACCCACCCAGCACCACCTCCTGCAAGCCGCACCCACAAACGCGCACCCCCAAGCAGCACCCGCCTCCCGCAGGCAGCACCCACCTGGAAGGCCTCCGGGTCCAGGCAGCCGTGCAGCGACAGCAGGCGCAGGCGGCGCAGCAGCGACAGCTCCGCCGGCAGCTGGTCCAGGCAGGTGTGGTCCAGCGCCAGCCCCGTCAGGGTGGTCAGCTGCGGCAGCGCGGCATCCAGGCCCCCCAGGTTGGTGCTCTCTGCGGCGGGAAGAAAGGAAGAGAGCAGGCAGGCAGGCAGGCGGGGAGGCGCGCGAGGCGGTGGGCGCCAGGCAGGCGCAAAGCCCGCGTGCACCGGGCGCGGCCACCCGCCCGCCACAGCAGGCGAGCCACGCACAGCACAAGCACAGCACCAGACCCACACACAACACAGGCGCGGCGCCAGCGCCAGGCGCACCCGACACATCCAGGAAGAGCAGGCCTGGCAGCGCCAGCACGCACTCGGGGATGCGGTTGGAGTAGTCGGCGCCGGCGTCCAGCGGGGCGGGGTTCAGCCCCAGCCATGTCAGGCTGCAGGGGGGCGGGGCGCGCGGCCGCGGGCACGCCGTTGGGCGCGCTCGCCTCCCAGGCTGTGCCTCGGTGCGCTGGCTGGCTGCCGGGCGGCCGGAGCGGGCCCTGGGAGCTGCCAGCCAGCCAGCAAGCCAGCCAGCCGGCCAGCCCATGCGGCGCGGCCCCCAGCCGCCACCAGCCGCGCCCTCTACCGTTGCCACCACGCCGCACCCGACCTACGCCGACCTGGTGGGCAGGCTGGAGGGCGGGCCCGCCGACTCAGCAAAGGCATCTGGGTAGGCCGAGTCGAGCACCACGTTGAGGCGCTGCAGCGCGGTCAGCCCCGCCAGATGGATGCCTGCAGGCCGCACGCACGCGTATGCACTCGCTCGCTCGGTCAACGGGTGCACGGGCGATGCACCAGGCAGGCAGGCAGGCAGGCAGGCAGGTAGGCTGGAACGTGCGCGCTCTTGCAGTCAACGCGGGCCGCTCGACTGCCGCGCGCCTGACATGCTCTCCCCCGACAGCAGCTGCAGCTCGGTGAGCGCCGTCATACGCGCCTGCGCCGCCCGCGGCAGCACCGCTCCCAGGGCAAGGTCCCCGTGCGCTCTGAGCTCCAGGTGGCGCAGGCTGCCCGCCGCAGCGCCCAGCAGCTCCCGCGTGCTGCTCTGCCACGCAATCTCTGCGCGCAGCGGGCGGCGGGCGGCGGGTGGCGCCGGTCAAAGCGTTGACCGGCTGCCTGAACACACCGCGGGCAGGCGAGCTGCGCTGTGCAAGGCGGCAGGCACCAAGAGGAGCCACGAGGCAAGCATGCGGGTATGGGCGGGTGCGGGGGCAGCTGCAGGGCCCAGACGCGCCAGCACCCACCACGCTGGGCTTGCGCAGCACCCACAATCCAGCGGCGCCCACCTTGGTCGTCGGTGTTGAAAAAGTGGAGGAAGAAGTCTATGCGCAGGTCGTGAATGCCTGGGGCGCGGGGCAGGGCCCAGGACAGGAAGCGCAGCAGGCGCTGGCGCTGCCCGTCGGCGACGCCGCCCACCGCGGCCAGGCCGCGCGGCGCCGTGAAGCCCACGCACCGCCAGCAGTCGCCGGGGCGCTGGAGCACGGCGTAGAAGCGGCGGCACACCAGCGGCAGCACCTTGATCCTGGCGGGTGCAGCAAGGGCGGGGTGGGAGCGAGGTGGGCGCTGCGGGGCAAGCCAGCAGGGAGGCAGGCGCCGGCAGCGGCCGCCCGCATGCAGCCGCTGCCGCCTCCAGCCGCCGCCTGCACTGCAGCGCAGCCTCCTGCGCGCTCGGTTCTCTGCTGGACCCCTTTTCTCTGGCATTGGGCAAGCCGCAGCACACCTCGGCAGAACATCGATGCGGGCGAACGTTTTCTCAAGCAGGTCATTGTCCAAGGAGTCGATGGAAACCCGGTGTGGCATGATGGAGGCGTTGCTGCAAGCAAAGGCGAGCGGCAGCCCGATGAGGGAGAACCCTAGTCTCTAGCACAGTCCTCTCCAGCTGTGGGCCTGCTTCGAATGTAGTATGCCTAAGGTGTGGGCGTGCGTGCGGGGGGGGCCAGCTGATCAATACCGCCGCCGGTGCCGCAGCCAGCGAGACAGCGCACGTAGCGCCCCGCCCTGCCATCCTGCATAGCTGGTGTGTGTAAACGGCTGCACGGTGTGGGCTGCACGTAATCTACCCTGTGCAGACCCCTAATGCTTGGGATGCCCGGTTGCCCGTCTGCCCGCGCTGCCGACCAAAGTTCGGTGCCACCGCCTTGCCGACACAGCGCTGCGGGGATGTGCTGTGGCAAGGGCCTTGTTGGGCTGCAGCTTGGCATGCCTGCTACCTCCTTGCATCCCGTCGCTGCCACCAGGCCCTGCAGCTGCATAATAATCCAGCTCGCCTGGCCACAGGCTCTGTGAGATCTCAGCTGGCCGAGCAAAGCCCCTAGCAAATTCTGTGACAGATTATTGACACTTTTCACACATGGCAGGCATACCACTTGCGGCGGGAGGAGAATCAGGTCAAAAGGGCAGAGCGATGGTAGAGGCAAGGGCAATACAAGATGCATGTATGCACCGAAATCTAAACACTGAATGCAGCCCAGCTAGAGCGCAGCTCACGAACAAGGGAATCCGGCGAGTGTCAGCTGTCAAGCAGCAGCTCTGGGCGTCGCTCCTTCAGCTGCAGGGATGCTTCCAACAGGGCCCTGAAAATGAAAACCTTTTCGGTTGCCCAGAATCTGACGTACCGCAGGGGCGCATGCTTCTCCGCCCAGCGCCAAAAGGCGCGCCACTGCTCCTCAGCCCCAGGCTGCAGTTCAGGCGGCTCCAGGAAGCTGATGCGCTGCAGCTGCTCTGCGCCGCTCAGGAAGGGCAGGCTGCGCTGCGCCAGCGGAAATGTTGTCACCAGGTGCCGCAGACTGCGCTGCCAGGGGCCCAGCGGCAGCGCAGCCTCGGCTGCAGCCTCCCGCTGTCGCGGTGTCCCAGGGCGCAGGTAGAGCCAGTCCAGGCGGCTCAGGGCGGCTAGGGATGCCGGCGCAACTGCTGCTGCTGGAAGGAACTGCAGCCACAGCCCCGTCAGCTGGGTGAGACGGGGCAGGGCGGCGTCCAGGCTGGCAGCCACATCGGCATCCTCGCCACGGGGATCGGAGATGTCCAGTACCTGCAGTCCCGTCAGCTCCGCTAGGCTGTCTGGCAGCTCACATGACCAAAACGCTGCGTGCTGGAGCGAGCTGAGCCGCGTCAGGCTGGCCATGCCTGTCCTGTAAGCTACACGATCCAGCGTAAGGCTGCGCAGGTTGGTGAGAGCGGCCACCTGCAGGAAAGGCAGGGCAGTAAAGCAAAGAGGCGTCAGCAGAGTGGACTCAATGCTACTGAAGCCCGGTGGCCGCAAAGCAGCTGGCTGGGATTGTCCTGTTCACACACGACCCCTTGCTGCCCCTCCCTCTCGCCTGGGCGGGCATCTCTCCTGCCTCGTGGCATGAGATGCAGAGGCGGGTGAGCGAGGCGGGCAGCGCCACGGCGGCGCCCAGCTGCCACTCCTCGGCGTCCAGAAGCAGACGCTGCAACGAGGTCAGGCCGTCAAGGGGGATCCAAGCTGTCATGGTATACGTGTCAAGGTGCAGCTCTTGCAGGCGGTGCGCTGTGGCGGTCCAGCTTCCAAGCGTGTAGCTGCAGCCGTATAGGTACAGCTTCAGGCGCTCCAGGCTGCCGGCGGAGATGGCGCTCCAGCAAGGACACAACCTCCATCTTCTCAACAGCGCTGAGCCCGTCACCGACCTCAAGGACAAGGTCAAGGCAGCTCACGCTCTGGCCGTGCCGCTGCATCCATCGCAGCAGCGACTGGGTGCGTCGCACCGTGGCAGATCCCTCACTGGCATTGTCATAGACCACCACCTCTCGCAGCAACTCTGGCCTGGTGCTAAGCGCACGCCAGCGGCGGCACACCAGGGCCGCCCTGGAGAGCCTGCAGGTGCAGACAGGGTTGGGAGTGTCGGGGAGTGGGCGACGGCAGGGGCGGGGCAGGCTTGTCGAGTCTCCAGAACCAGCCGCAACCAGGCGCGGGCGGCCCAGGCGGACTCACAGATCCGCCTGGTCCAGCGGGGAGAAGCACTGGGCCAGCAGGTCGTCGCTGAGCGAGCCGATCGTGGCGGTGACGGCTGCTGGCCCTGGGCCCGGCGGGACCCGCGAGGAGCCATGTGTGTTTGATTAGTCGAGGGCGAACTTGCATGCGTTGTGTGGTGGGTGCACAAGAGCGGGTCGGCAGCCAGCCTGGCGCAGCGTCCGCCGGTTTTGGGCTGTCCGCACCAGTCCTGCTCATTGACTTGAATGCTCCCTCTCAAACCCTCCCAATGCACATTAAAAATACATGCAGCATCAACACACTCGTACCAGCGACGCCACACCAGGGCCGCCCTGGACAGCCTGCAAGCATGGTCCAAAGCTCGGTGAGCAGCAGCGAGCGGCGGCGTTGGCGGCGGCAGGATCGGGCCACGCTGTGGGAGCTGCAGAGGCAGCCGCAGCCAAGCGCGGGAACCGACAGCCCCAACTCACAGGTCCTTCTGCTGCAGCGGGGAGAAGCACTTGGCCAGCAGGTCGTCGCCCAGCGAGCTGATCGTGATGGCGGCGGGCTCCTGGCCCTGGGCTTGGCGAGGGGCGCGAGCAGCCATTTGGAGTACGCTAAGGATGTCGGGAGCGGCCTGCGCGGCCTGCCTTGGAGGAGCCAGCAGCCGCCAGCGCGGTGGGCGCAGGCGCTGCGAGCCGCACCAGCTGCTGGTGACCAGCACCAGCATACTGCCACTGCAGCCACATGCATTCCCGTGAATGGTTCCTTCTGTCACAGCTGTGAATGGTTGATCCGGCTGGTGAATTGAAATCATTTGATCCGGGGGGGATGTGCCGGTTCAGCGGCGGCTCAGCCACTGACACTGGTGGGAGCTGAAAGCTACCATTTAGTGGTGTGATTACCAGCACCCCAGCTGGACCCGTAGCATTCACTTGCTCCTTATGGGTGTAACAGACAGACGGGCAGGGGTAACATGACAGATTCAGCCATCAGGAGAAGGGCGGTGAAGACTGGGCAGCGGGTGACCCGCTGACAGCAGTGCCATGGACATGGCGGTCGAATGCTGCCAAGTGCAGGCCCTTGCCCCACATCACTTCTTCTTCTTCTTGCTCAGCCCGCCGTTGCCACTGGCGATGATCTGGCCGATGCGTCCGCTGCAGGCGGGGGCAGGCAGGCCGGCTCGCTTCAGCCACATGCACGTGCATCAACCACGGTGGGCAGGTTCAGGGAAGGCGCCACCGCAGCGGCAGGTGAGCAGGGCGGGGTCCACCCACGTGGTCCACAGCTGCTCCTGGAAGTTGACGAGCTGGCGCAGCACGGTGTTGGAGGCGTTGTTGGGCTTGATGACGGCCTGCGGCGGCGGTGGCGGCGGCGGTGCAGGCGGCGGTGAAGGCGCCGGTGCGGGGCAGCCGTAAACGGCAGCGGCCGGGCGAGGGACTCTCGGAGAAGGCAGCCGCGGCAGTGGGGGTGGGCGGGGGCGCCGCCTCACCCTCCCCACCACTGGTGGCACACATGCATGCTCACACCCGCTCCCTCTCACACACACACGCAGGCCATGCCGCTGCGCATGCAGGGCGGCGCCGCACCTGCAGGTAGTTCATGAGGTTGAGCACAAAGGGCTGGGAGAACTGCGGGGTGGAGATGTCGTCGGCGGGGTCCAACAGGGCCTTGCACGTCTTGGAGCCTGCCAGGCGGGCGGCGGCGGGGCGGGGGTGCACTCGTGATGGTGGAGGGAGACGAGTGGGGAAGGCGGAGGCGGACCAAGCAGGTGAAGAGTACCCTAGTGATGGGGCGACACCTGGTGAGGGGGGCGACAGCCGAGCTGGCAGGCAGGCTGCAGGGCGGGACCCCCGCAGGCACTTCCGCACCTGAGTAGAAGTACTGCGCGGTCTGCTGGACGAAGGTACGGATGTTGGACATGACGTACTGCAGGGTGGAAAGCGTCAGCAGGTCCTCCAGGATGCTCAGGCTGGTGCCGTTGGGCGCGACGCCGCCGGGCAGCGCCGCGCGCTCCGCGCGGCGCGCCGTCACCGACTTGGGCTGCCAGCCCGCGGGCTTGGTGAGCAGCACCGTGTCCATGACGGCGCCTGTGTAGGCGTTGACACCCTGCACGTGCACGGCAGCGCCGGCGCATCGGTGCACGTGCCGCTGCTGGTGCGGCTGCCGTGCTGGAGCTCGCCCTTGCGCAGGAGCCTCCAGCCTCTCGCCACCTGAGGCGGCGAGAGGCAGCCGACTCTCCCTGCCCCGCCTCCCTCCTCTGCAGCTGCCTGCGCCCACCAGCCCCGCCCCGGCGCCGGCGCCTCGCCCACACACGGTGCACCACCCCGCCGCCTGCCACACCTGGTACTTGAGCCGCGTGGCATTGGCGGACACGCGGACGTAGCCGTACTGCAGCCCCTCCACGCCGCCCTGGGCCGCGGAGAAGATGGCGGGCTGGGTGGGCATCCAGTTGGTGGGCATGATGTCGTAGCTGGGAAGAAGAAGGAACGGGAGCACGGGTGGCAGGGAGAAAGTCAGAAGCAAAGCAGGAAGAAAGGTGGGTGTAGGTGTGTGCCAAGGTGCAGGCGGGCAAGCGGCCCCGCCAGAAGCAGGGGTGGAGGGTCCGGCGGCAGCTTTGCACCCCGGCCGGCCGCCTGGAACATAGGCACGAGGCCGGCCGCCGCACGGCAGCCACACAGCAACAGGCCCGCCCCGCCGGCCCATGCTCACCCGGCGTTGCCGAACAGGGCGTAGACCGGGGCCCTCTGGGTGCCATCGCGGTTAGGCGCAACGCAAGAGTAGTTGTACAGGGGGCAGCTGCGCTGGTAGGTGTGCTCGTGGCCTGCGGGGGGGGAGAAGGAGAGGGGTGTGGGGGCGGGCGGGCAGGGTGCCACAGTGTGAGTGGCCATGGCAGCACAGCCGCTGAACAGCAGGGACCTGCCTCCCCTGCACACACACCGCACAGCACAGCATGAGCAGGCAGCACGGTGGTACTGCAGCAAGGATATGGTACTACGGTACCGCCTCACCATACCACACCATGTCCACGCTGTAGTCAAACCACATGCCCTCGTACGCCGCCCGCAGCTGCTGCGCCACCAGCTGGTCCGACCCAGGCGCCTGCCCGTCCTGGGAGTCCACGTATGGCATGCGGTGCAGGCCCACCACCACCCACGGCGTGCGGGTGCGGTTGACGGCGGCCAGCTGCGCGCGCACCCACGCGTTCTGTGGGGTGCCTTTGGCAAAGGGGTGCTCCGAGCTGCAGGCAGCAAGCGGGGGGAGGGGAAGCGGAGGCAGGGTGGCAACGGAAGGGTGGGCAGCCGGGTGAGGGTGCGCATGCGACGGCGCCGTGGACAGGAGGGTGGGCCCGGCTGCCACCTGGCAGTCTCAGCCTGCGCTCACCTCATCTGGATGAAGGTGATGGGACCCAGGCGGAAGCTGTACCAGTACGTGCCGACCTTGCCGGGAGGGGAGCCGTTGGGTAGAGGGAAGCGCTTCTGGTAGACCTGCCACAGGTGTAAGGCAGGGCAGCGGGCAGGGGCAGCGAGGGGAGGTGGTGGTGGGAGGCAGGGCAGGGGGCAGGGGCAGCGAGGGGAGGTGGTGGTGGGAGGCAGGGCACGCGTGGCGTGGAGAACGATGGGGCGAGGCGGCGCAGAACAGGCGGTGCTGCTGCCTCCCGCAGAGTCACAAAACATTTTGAAACTGTGAAGTAAACGGCACCTGCAGGCTGATGGCTGCCACCAGCCAGTTACCACCGCCCCCACCCGCCCCCCTCACCACGCCGCACTCCCCTCCAGAGTCGGTGCTGTTGTAGAGGGCCTGGGGTCCCGGCCAGTCGGCCTGCACAGCACAGTCATGCACATTGGGATGCAGATGCTTGCGCCTGCTCGAGCGTGCACCGCACATCCCGCTGGCTGCCGTTCCGGCTGCCAAGGCCCGCATGCGTGGCAGCTGGAAGTCGGCGAGCAGCTGCCCCCAGGGCCCACCTCGTGGTTTCCGATGGAGAGCATGGAGGGCATGGCGGGCAGCACATTGCGCATCTGGTGCAGCCAGGTCTCCCACTGTGCGGCCAGCCCGCGGGCATCTGCGGGAAGGAGGGCACGGCGGGCAGGAGGACGGCGGGGGGTGGGTGGTGGCGGCAGGGGGGCCACGGCTCGAGCGGGCACGGCTGACCATGGGCATCGCAGGCGGCGGGCGCAAGAGCGACGCGGCCGGCGGCGAGGCTGCCGCCCTCCTTCTTGCTTGGCCTCTGAGCTCCGAGCAGCCTCAGCGGCTGCCAGCGGCGAGGGCTCGCCACGCATGGGCATCATCTAATAACGCTGGCAGCCCGCCACCCGCTGCCACACTCCATGGGGCCAGCGACACCGTCTCCACCACTGGCACTCACAAGAGATGTCGCCGTTGAGCACAAAGCCGTGGTAGCGCCCGGACGCCGCCTCCGCCGCCAGCGCCTTGATGGTCCACTCGCTGCCGCGCTGCCCCACCTGGGCGGCCACCGTCAGTACGTTTTGCTGGGCACAGTACAGAGGAGACCCAGGCCCGATGGTCAGATTCAGGCTGGCCAGCACCGGCTGGATCTGAGGGTTCCACTCCAGGCTGCCGTCGGGCTGCCAGTGGCCCATGTCGGCCGCCGCCAGCAGGCGCACCTGCGGGGGGGGTGGGAGCAGGAGGGAGGCGGGGAGGCGGGGGGCAGCGGCGGCGGTGTGGGAAGCGGGCTTTGCGTTTCAGAGCAGGGGGGCGGTGCACTGAAGCACGAAGGCTGGCCTGCGGCAGCTGCGGGCTGGGCGAAGCCACCGCGCCCCTGCCGCAATGCGTGTGTTGTGCATGCCGCGCGCGTGGCACAACAGCAGCGGCAGCGGCAGCCGGCTCAGCTTCGGGCTTGGGCGCACCGTGGACCCGGGGCTGCCTGCTGCGGTGGAGGAGGAGGGGGCGGTCAGGAAGGAGAACTGCCGGCTCCAGCCCAGGGTGGCATCGCCCACGACGTAGTAGATGCGTGTGGAGGGCAGCAGGCCAGTCATGACGGCGCTCGACTGGTAGCCGGGGTTCACCCAGCTGCGCACGGGAGGAGGCAACGGCGGCGCTCACAGGGGGAGCAGGGGCTTGTTCACAGGGGCAGCAGCATGAGGCTGCAAGAGACAGCGTGGCATTCCGCAGCGCAGGCCACATGGTGCGTAGCGGTGTCGCCAGCCACCCAGCAGGCCTCACCCAATAGTGGTGGCGGGCGGGCCGCACAGGTTTGAGCGGGTGTAGGTCCAAGAGGTACCGGTAGCGGTACCGCTGTAATTCCCGGGGCTAGTGCCCCACCGCACGGTGGGCCGGGCGGGCTTGGCGTCGGTGGTCCACGTGGCTCGCATCTGGCCGGTGCTTGCGGTGGCTGCCAGGCGGATGTGCATGGGGGTGTTGGAAGCGCTGCGGGGCCGCGGGCGGTAGGGGGGTGGGGCTGAGTGTTAAAGAGGGGCGGCGGGGAAAGGGCTAGCGGGAGCGAGGCAACGCCAGGCGGTGCAGACACACGGCAGGGAGACACCCTTGCCGCTTCCTGCATCGCGTGAAATCTCTCAGCCCTGCTGCGATGCTGCCGGGGGACACCCACCCACCCACCCACACGCGCGCACACACACAAACGCACACGCGCGGTGTTCTCTATCTCCTCTCTCCCGCGTGCATGCACCCACGCGCACCTGAAGGTGATGTTGGGGGTCTGCGCCACCAGGTCGTTGGAGTTCAGCCAGGATCCCCGCATGTAGACAAACTGCAGCGGCTGGCGCATGTTGAGCACCTGGAAGCTGTGTGTCGGGGGGGGGGGGGGGGGGGGGGGGGGGGGGGCAGGGCAGAGCGGGCGCCGCCACAGGCATGTCGGGGTCGTGTGCAGTACCGTTGGGGCTGCGCGCAGCACCTGCTGTCATTGCTGCCAGCAGCTGGAGATGCCCCTGGTCCCGCTGGCGTCACTGCGCCGCTACCGCCTGTGGTGCCAGCTGCCGCCAGGCAGCCCACTCACGTGTAGCTGCCCACACCAGCCCTCCAGGTGGCAGGGGAGGCTAGCTGGGTCCAGATGAACTTGACTGGGGCGATCTGGCTGCAGCGGGTGGCAAAGTGGGGCAGCACAGAGGGACAGCAGCTGGGAGGGGAGTGGGATGGCGACGGCGGCACGCAGGTGGCGGCCGCCGCAAAGGCAGGAGGGCAGCTACGGCTGGCCACAGCAAGCATGTGGACGCTGCTGGGCCAGTTTGCTTATGAGATCTTACGGTCCAAGCGGTGGCAAGGCAAGCTGTCCAGCCTCACACCGCCGCGCTGTGCACATGTGTACACGCCCATTCGAGGCACGCCCTTTGAGGGGTAGCCAACGCTGGAAGCCCTGCTTGCCTGGCACTGCCTTCCCCGGGCAGGTAGAGGGCGAGCAGGTCGTTGGAGGAGCAGTAGGTGGGCCACAGGCACAGGGCGCGGAGCTTGCGGGACAAGGCGGTACCGCCGATGTTCCAGCTGACCTTCACCCATGCGGAGGCGCCTCTGTGGGGCGGGCAGGCAGGCAGACAGGCAGGCAGATAGGCGGGCAGGGTGGCCGGGCAGGCGTGGCCCACGCGATTCGGGATGCCATCCCGCAGCGCGGGAAGGAGGCAGCAGATCGGGAGGGTGGGGTGGATGGCTTGCGGCGCCGGTGTCGGGAGTGGACATCGGGTGGGAGGCAGATGGGACGCTCACGCCGGGCGGGCCCTACCAGCTCAGCGCCCACTCAGCGGCTGAGCTGGCACCGTCCCAGAAAATGCGCAGGCTCACTTGAGGGTTGTGGTGTTGACTGTGATGGAGTAGGACGGGTCGATCGCCACGCTGCGCACAAACCGCCCGGGATCCGGCAGCTGCGGCGGCAGGAGGGTGGCGGCGCGAGAGCGGCAGCTGGGCGAGCGGCAGGAGCGGCAGCGGGAGCGGGCCAAGCTCCCGCGGGGTGCACCCACGTGGCAGCTGGCCACCCAGCTGCCCAACGGCGGCATACACGCAGCCCATCCGATGCCGCCTGCAGTGCCCTCCACTCCCAGAATCCTCCCAAGGGCTGTCCCGCCCACCCACCTGGACGTTCCGCCGGAAGGGCGACGCGTCAGCGCACCGGGGCGTGCATAGCAGCGCGGCGAGCAGCAGCGCCAGCGCGGCGGGGATCAGCCGGCGCCCTGGAATTCCCGACATGGTGCCAAGCTAGGCGGGTGATGGGAGCCTGCAAGCTGGAGAGCGGGAGGGATTTTGGCGGCAGCGGCGGCGGCGGCTGGAGAAAATACCAGGCCTGCGGGGGCCGCGGGGGGGCTCCGCGGAACGGCGCGGCTGCGCAGCTCGCAAGCGAGCATGGGGCAAGATTAACTGCTGGCAGGCCTCACGAGCGCTGCTCACCCGGGAGGTGTGATTCAATGAGCGTCCCCCGTGCTCAGTGCTTCTGTGGTGTGTGTCCGTCTCGATTTCGCTGCGAGATGACACACTGGGACCAACGACAGTGGATAAACCCAACCGAAGTAAGAGAGGCCGAGCCACTGGTCAATAGGACGCGATGTTCTGTGCAGCGGGGAATGCGAAGGGGATTTTTGGTGGATGGCTCTGCTATTTGTCAGCCGGAGCACAGAACCAAGCTGGAACAGTAGTGCAGAGCTGTCACCACTGGCCTAGGCATGCATGCTTGGTGGCGGCGGCGGGTTGAACTGCCTACGGCGGCGCCAGATGGCGGCCGTCCTGTCGCCACTGACAGGTGGCCGCTAATTTAAGCAGTATCGGCCAGATGACAGCATGCTAAAACACGTAGCTTGCGCATCCCCCTAATGCCAGCAGTGCCACCCACCCAGCTCAGCATGCGCCGCTGCCACCCACAGCGCTAGCGCCAGCGGTGGCGGCAACCGTGGTGCTGCCCGGCAGCTGCCCGGCCGGGGATGCCTGGAGGTGCTGGCGCTGAGCCCTGCTTGACCAGTATGCACTGCAAAGTACAGCCTACTTGTGCCCCACCTGGGCGGGCATCTCTTCTGCCTTATGTTCTTCGATGCGGAGGCGGGTGAGGGAGGCAGGCAGGGCCATGGCACTGCCCAGCTGCCACCGCTCTGCGTAGAGATGCAGGCGACGCAGCGAGGTGAGGTGCTCCAGGGTGGCCCAAACCGTGAAGATCTCCACCTCGAGCCTCAGCTCTTCCAGGCGGTGCGCTGTGGCGGTCCAGGCCCCAAGCATGTAGCTGCCAGTCATTAGGTGCAGCTTCAGGCGCTCCAGGCTGCCGGCACAGACGGTGACACAGCCGTCCAGCAGGGACAGCACCTCCATCTCCCCAACAGCGCTGAGCTCGACATATTCCTCCAGGGCCAGATCAAGGCTGCGTACCGCCTGGCCGTGCTGCTGCAGCAACCGCAGCAGCGACTGGGCGGCCCGCACCGCGGCCGCCCCATCCCTGCCGGCGTGGAACACCACATTCTGCAGCAGCTCTGGCCTGGTGCTGACCGCGTGCCAGCGGCAGCACACCAGGGCCGCCCTGGACAGCCTGCACTCATGGTCACAAGCCGGTGAAGAGTAAGCCGTGGGTTTGGCGGCGGCAGGCGGGCCACGCTGTGGGGCGCTGCGACGCCAGCCGCAGCCAGGCGCGGGCGGTCCTGCGGGACTCACAGGTCCGCCTGTCCAAGCAGGGAGAAGCACTTGGCCAGCAGGTCGTCGCCCAGCCAGCCGATCGTGGCGGCGGCGGGATGCTGGCCCTGGGCCCGGCGGGATCTGCGAGGAGGCATGTGTGTGGTAGATGAGATTAGGATGAGACAGGCGGTGGTGGAAGCCCACGACGGCGGAGGTCGGCAGCGTGGCGCAGCATGCCGTCGGCCGGGCTGATGAGTGGCTCTGCTGCTGGCCACCCCAGTTCTGCTCAATGCCTTGAATCTTCCCGTTCATGCTTGAACACGCATGTGAAACTTACAATGACGCACCAACACAGGCAGAGAAATCAGGCGAACAAGCATCGCACGCAGCGGGCGGCGCCGCACAATGCGGTCATGGGGCATTGGGTCGTTGCTACCCTCGGCGGGAGGCAACAGAGAGCACCAGACCCTCAGCGCCATTTGGAAAGAAGATCGTGAAGATCAGTCAACTCGTAAAGGCCAACAATCTCGATCTGCAGGGCGGGCCGCTGCCCCTTTAGCTGCAGCGCGGCTACCAGCAGGGCCGGGTCAACGGGCTCCTCCCAGCCAGTCCGTGGGACGACATACCGCGTCCCTTTCTTCTGCATGATGAGGCGCTGCAGCGGAGCATGCTCCCCCGCCCACCGCCAGAAGGTGCGCCACTCTTCCGATTTGCGCCAGTGCCTTGCTGGAGGCTGGAAGAAAGAGAGGTGCTCCAGCCGCTGCGCTCCAGCCAAAAAGGGTAGGCTCTGCTGCGCTAGCTGGAAGGATGTGGCCAGGCGCCGCAGGCTGCGCTGCCAGGGGCCCGACGGCAGCGCCGCACCACGCTGCAGACCAGCCTCTGCTTAATCTGCTGAGTCCCCCAGCTCCAGGTACAGCCACTGCAGACGGCTCAGTGGCGCCAACAATGCCAGGTCCACGGCTGCAGCGGGCAGTTCTTCCAGCCACAGCCCCGTCAGCTGGGTGAGGCGCCGCAGGGCGCCGCCCAGGCTGGATGCCACAGCATCCGCTGGGCTGTCAGGACTGCAAACCTCCAGCACCTGCAGCTGAGTCAGCTCCGACAGGCTGTCTGGCAGGTGGCAACCCGTGAATGCCGCGTGGTGCAGCGAAGCGAGCTGGCGCAGGTTGGCTGAGCGGTAGCCAACGCACAAGAGATGGAGGCTGCGCAGGTTGGACAGGGCCGCCACCTGCAAACGAAGGGTCACGGCCAGCTTTCGAGTCAGCAAGCACGGCACATTCCAAAGTCAGCGGCGACGCCAGAACGTGGAAGGCTGGGTGCCTGCAAGCTTTTGTTGATGCCAGCAGCCCTGCCGCAGGCGGCCTGACCAGCATGCACCATAAATACAGCCCACCGCCCTTGTCTCACCTGGGCGGGCATCTCCTCTGCCCCGTGTCTTGAGATGTGGAGGCGGGTCAACGAGGCGGGCAGCGCCACGTCAGCGCCCAGCTGCCACTCCCGCGCGTCCACATCCAGGCTCTGCAGCGAGGTGAGGTGCCCCAGGGTGGTCCAGGCTGTCATGCAGACCAGCGGTGCGAGCCTCAGCTCCTCCAGGCGGTGCGCGATGGTGGTCTAGCCCCCAAGCGTGTAGCTGCGGCCGAATAGGTACAGCGTCAGGCGCTCCAGGCTGCCGGCGCAGACGGTGATGCAGCCGTCCAGCACCGACGCAAACTCTGCCTGCTCGATCTCGCTGACGGGTTCCAGCGAGACATCGAGGCTGCGTACCGCCTGGCCGTGCCGCCGCATCCACCGCAGCAGCGACCGGGCACCCTGCACCGTGGCCGCCCAATCATCGCTGCCCCGGAACTTCACATGCTGCACCAGCTCTCGCCTGGTGCTGACCTTGTGACAGCGCCGGCACACGAGGGCCGTTGTAGAGAGCCTGCAAGTGCGGACAGGGTTGGTGTGGAGCGGCGGGACAGGGCGGCAGGGGACAGGGGCAGGCTTGTCGAGCCCTGCGAATCCAGCCGCAGCCAGGCGCGGGCCGTCCTGCGGGACTCACAGGTCCGCCTGCTCCAGCAAAGAGAAACACTTGGCCAGCAGGTCGTCGCCAAGCGAGGCGATCGTGGGGGCCGCGGGCTGCTGGCCCTGTTGGGCGGTGCTGGGGTCCATTGGGCGCGGCTGGAATAGCTGGAAGAGGAGCATGAGAGGCGCCCACAGGATGGCAGCCCGCCGTGCGGGCGCAGTCGCAGCGCACAGCGCACAGCGCCGGCCGATCCATGCGCCCTCCTTTCCTGGGAAGTCGCCTGGCCTGGGATGTCCTGGTGGTGCTGCGTTGCTGGACCAGCTTCCTGCATGCATGCATTCCTGAAGTTGCCACAACTTGTGGTATGATTTGCATGCTGGCACCATGATCACTCGCTGGGGGCCGCTGGGGGCAGCGACTCCACACTGCCGGGCACCATTCGTGCTGCGCCAACAATGATGCAAAAACCGTTGGTGAACAAGCAAGCCTGGAAGATCACAGTCTCGCTCTCTCGTCCGCTGCCAACCAATGGATGGGCTGATGGGGTGCTGCCCGTCGACGGGCAGCCAGTTGTCAACGGCTTACAACCAGCCGGCATGCATTGGCCCCAATCCCGGCCCACCAGCGCCCTGACCACAGCCACCTCCTCGCTGGCACACCCTGCTACTGCAAGTTTCAGCCAATCATCACGGGTTGGCCGGGTGGCGGCGGTGGCGGCCGGGTGGCGGCGCTGGGCCTGCTGCGCAGGTGATGGCGCAACAAAACCCCGGCGGCGCGCAATCGGTCCATTGCCGGGCGTCCACGATGGATGAGGCAGCATCGTGCAGCCGGCAGCGCGGCCCCGGGCTCCTGAGCCTGCCCAGCTCCGTCTTGGAGGCCATCTTCGCGCTGGTGGACCTCCGGCAGAGGTGAGGGGCGCTGCCGGGAGCGATGGGCACGACCGCACTCTCGTTGCCCGGCCCCGCCCCGCCGCCGCCGCCGCCACTGCTGCACGCAGCCACCTCTGCTGCCCGCCGTCGCCGGTCCCTCCCGCTTCCTGCCGGGCCCGACCCCGCACTCCACTCTCCCCCGCCTCCCACCCTCTCTAAACCCGCCGCCCGCCTCCGCCGCCGCCTGGCGCAGGGCGGGCGTGCTGCCTCTGGTGTGTGCCGCCGTGCGGCGCCAGCTGGCCGGGCCCAGCGCCAGCCTCTGGCACGACCTGCGCTTTGAGTGCGACATCGCGCACGCCAGCCAGCGCACCCGCGCCACCAGCTTCCTGGCCTGGCTGCGGCGCCATGGGCAGCACAGCCGCGCGCTGCAGGTGCCGGGGAGGCGGGCGGGGCCGGGAGCCGCGCCGCGGCCGCCTGCCTGGCTGCCTGCCTGCCTCGCCGCAGCGCCCACCCCTGCGCCGCGCGGACGCCTGCCTCCTGCCTGCCTGCCTGCCTTCATGCTTGCCTGATAGTCCCCCTGCCTTCCCACTCGACCGCCTGCCCACTTGTACTGCCCGCTTGTCCCGTCCGCAGCTGGACATGTGGAATGGCGGGCAGCCGCCGCCGGCGGAGCAGGAGGGGGTGCACCGGGCGCTGCGGGAGGTGCTGGAGGCGACGCTGGCGGGTGGGCCTGCCTGGCCTGGGCTTTGCATTGCTGGGCTGGGCTGGGCTGGGCTGGGCTTGGAGTGGCGTGGCTTCGGCGTGGCTGGGCTTGGCTGGGCTGGGCGTGGCTTTGCTTGGCTGGGCTGGGCGTGGCTTTGCTTGGCTGGGCTTGGCTTGGAGTGGCGTGGCGTGGCGTGGCTTGGGCGTGGCTTGGCTGGGCAGGGCTCAGCTGGGCGGGGCGGGGCGGGGCGGGGCCGGGCCGGGCCGTGCGGGGCCGGGCGTATTTTGGCTGGGCTGCTCAGGGCTGGCTTTGGCTGGGCTGGCCTGGTCTGGGTGTGGGCCGGTCTGCTCCGTTCTGGGCTGGGCTGGGGTCAGCCTGGTGCCAGCATGCGCCGCCGGAGCCACCCCCAGGCATGGCTGGGGTTAATCCTCCGGGCGGCGCGGCGCCTCGGCAGTTTTCGGTCGCGGCGCAGCCGGCCTGCCGCCGCACCCTTCGCCGCCCTCCCCAGCACCCGCGGCGTCACACGGGGGTGCTAGGGCTGTGCCGGTCCTTGCCCCACCTTCACTTTTACCTTTCACCCTTACCTTTACCTTACCCACCCCTGCCCGCTGCCCCTGCCCCTGCCCCTGCCCCCTAGCCCGCCTGCAGCCAGCCTCCCCAGCTGCGAGTTCCTGCGCCTGCGCTGGGGCGGGCGCGTGCTGGTGGTGGGCGACTGGGCAGCCGCCGCCACCTCCCTCACCTGCCTGGCACTCAGGTGGGGGCCGGGGAGGCGCCCGCGGCGTGCCGGCTCGGCTGCCGGCTGGGTATCTGGGCTCTTGAGGGCAGGGGCATAGTGGGACCCAGGCGGGCTGGCCGCCTGCCTGGCCGGCGTGCCGCCTGCTCTGCACGCCGACATGGCATGCCATGTTTGCCTGATGGCACCTCTGTTGTCATTGCTTCAAACCCGGCGCCGCGGCGCACCCACCACTGTTTCGCCGCCTCCCCGCCTCCCCGCCGGCGGCCCCGCAGCGGTCACGAGGTGTGCGTGGGTAGCCCGCTGGGCGCGCTCAGCTCGCTGGTACATCTGGAGCTTTCCACCACAGAAGGTGCGCCCCTGCCTGCCTCCCCAACCTCCTCGCGCGCTTCCCTGTCCAGCCGTGTACGTCCGCGCGCATGCAGCATGCACGGGGGCGCACGCCGGCCGCCGCCCTTGTGCCCACACTGCGGCAAACACAACACGAGCATTAATACATACACAAAACACGCACACATACACGCGCATATGCATGCACAATTGTTTACAGTATTGCCAGCTCAGCGACTGCTGCCCCCGCGCAGACATCGGCCCCAGCCTGGAGCCCGGGTGCCTCCCCGCCTCCCTCACCCGCCTCTGCTGCGTGCCCGCGCCCGCGTCGGCGCCACCGCCGCTCGGCGACGACGACTGGCCGGGGCTGGCGGAGGCGCAGATACCGGAGGAGGCGCTGGCGCTGCCGCACCTCGTCTACCTGGATGTATCGGGTGGGGAGGAGTGTGGTGGTTGTGTGTGTGTGTGTGTGTGTGTGTGTGTGTGTGTGTATTGTGTGTATCGTGTGTGCGCGTGTACGTGTGGGTGTGGGTAGGTGCGTAGTACAGGAGCCGGCAGGTGGCGGGTGTGCGGAGGACGGTGCGTGCTTGGCAGCGCTTGGCAGCCCTCGCCCCCACCACCCACCCATTCACACACATACACACTCAAACGCACACGACAACAAGCCTGACCGACTGACCCACCCCCTACACGCCCACCCCCACCCACTCTCCCCGCAGAGTCCCTGTTTGCGCGGGCCCACCTGGAGGCGGCCCTGCCGCGCCTCACCCGCCTCACCTCCCTTGCATTCGACAAGTGCGAGCTGGCAGGCAAGCGGGCGCCCGGCTCTTCCCTGGCTGGCTGGCAGGCGCTGGCTGGCTGGCAGGCGCTGGCTGGCTGGCTGGCTGGCCGGCCGGCTGGCTGGCTGGCTGGCTGGCTGGCTGGCTGGCTGGCTGGCTGGCTGGCTGGCTGGCTGGCTGGCTGGCTGGCTGGCTGGCTGGCTGGCTGGCTGGCTGGCTGGCTGGCTGGCTGGCTGGCTGGCTGGCACTGGAGCTGAGCGGTGTGCGTGTGGCGGCGATGGTGGTGTGCGTGTGGTGGCGGTGGCGCTGGGTGCGTGGCGGCGGTGGCGGTGTGGGCCGGGGCATGCGCGAGGCAGCCGGCCTCCGCCGCACGGCGCAGCAGCTCGCCGCCTGGCATCCAGGGTGCCACCGGCCCGCCGCCGCCCACCTCGCTGCCGCAGGCGGCATCCCTGCGCAGCTGTCGCTGCTCACGAGGCTGCGGGTGCTCTCCTTTGACGGCTGCCCGGCGCAAGAGGTGGAGGACGCCCTGCAGCCCTCATGGACGGGTGGGTGGGTGGGCGGGCTGTGCTTATGTGTGGCGTCATGACACGGGTGGCGGTTGGGTGGCGGTGCACGGCTGGGCTGGGGCTGGTGGGGAGCATGCGCGCCGCGCCTCCCCCAGTGAATGTTCAATGATTGCACACACTGCTTCCTGACACGCTGCCCCTTGTGCCCTGCCCCCTGCGCACACTGTTTCTTGCACGCCCTGCCCCTTACACACCCTGCCTCCTGCACGCCCACGCCCCCGTGCGCCCCTCATGGCGGTCTGCCACCCCTCCCCAGCACCCGACCTCCGCCGTAGCTGCAACTGAGGCACCTGGTGCCCCCACCCCACCCCACCCCTCCTCCCCGCCCACCTGCAGTGCTGTCGGCCCTCACCCGCATCGCCTCCCTGTCCATCAGCAACAGCCGGCTGGAGAGCGTGCCGCCGGCGCTGGCGGCCATGCCCTCGCTGCAGGTGGGTGGGTGGCGGCGGCGACGGTGGTGGTGGCTGTGTGTGGGGTTGTTATGTGGTTGTGGCGTTTGTTGTTGTTGTTGTTGTTGTTGTGTTGG